TGCAGCTCGAGATGGTTTTTCATTTGTGCACATAATGCTGGCTTATGTAAGAACATAAAAGAACATAGATGGTCTGAAAACTGCAATTTGTGTGTTTGTGTGTAGGTTTCAAAGCTGAAATGGGTCTGCTGCACAGAGTAGGAATCAAACGCCGGTGGTTGTTTGATGAATTTGCTCAAATATGACCAAATTCCCACTGGGCAGATAACTTTTGTTACTTTCAAGGAGAAAAGCACTACATTCATAGCTTTCCAGAAGTGATCCTTTGTTTTTGGCAGTAGGATAAACTGACTAAAAAAATCAAATAAAATCCTGCAATGCTGCAAAACACCTGCTTTATTCTCGCAGTTCTGACGCATGTTAGATTTGCTCTTCTCTTTTCAGTTCACTTCCTCTGTTATTAGTTGAGCCTCCTCTGTGTTTTGTTGTCAAGGCCCTGTCTTAACAACCTGCGATGCCTAAAAACACCTAACACTGTGTTGGTTGTTTCTCTCTTTAGTTGCTTCCTGTTTTATTTTACTTCCTCCTTGTCTGTTTATTTAGATTCGGTTCACCTGTGCCTTGTTTCCCCCAGCTGTGTTCACTCCCTCTGATTACTTTGTATGTTCTTTTTCTTTTTTTTAAATTACCTCTTTCCTTTTTCTTTAGTTGAATTTATAAACAAAATGCCAGTTTGACAGATATGAACTTGGCATATCACTGCATGGTGTGGAGTGTTTCCTTAAAACATTTGAGGAAATTGGGCATGACCTAAAAAAGACTATTTACATGAACATTATTAAGAAACAGGGAAAAATCCAGCAAAGACTTAGAAAAGGACTCAAAAGAAGCATCTGGCCCTTCACTTAAACTCCCTGCTGTTCACTGAGGTCTCTTCAGAGTGGTCTGAGTGGAAGGCTGGCTATCAGGAAGACATTTTTAATGAAAGGATAAAGGAAGAAAAGGGTGAGGTACTCCAAATCACATAAGACCTGCACTGAAAATCAGTGGCAATGGGTCTTCAAATTTAATAAAACTATCATTGTAAACACGGTGGAGGTGCTGTCATGGGCTGGGTTGCATTTCAGCCAGTGGTGGAAATCTTGTCAAAATTGATGAAATTAAAAGTAGGTGAGAACTGCCGCATGCATCGCTCAAGTTGTGACACTTCTTAGTGTCTGTGAAGGTTCTCAGTCATCCAGGTCATCGTCCAGACGCTTTTCTTTCCAAGCGACACTTTTTAGTATTAGTTCAAACTAGTTGTTAGGCTTAGATCACAAGTTGATAAAGCATTTTTGAAATGAAATGATTAAGAGGCTTTGAGTGTGATGTTATCGTTGCACTATAAATGAAGATTTAATATGCTGCAAACACCAGCTGTCTTTGTTTGATTATATTCACATTTCCTGTTACAGAAGTGCACTGTGATAAATGTACTTAAATGTAGATAATGTAGCGATAGAGCACATCAGCCCCTGTGGGATTGCAAATGTAGTTGTACTGCACAATATTTCAATAAAGTTATAATTTCTAAAGAAAAACTGGAAAATCTTTATTATGCTGAATCTCTTGGCAATATTAAGAAAGTTTTTTATTAGGCTCTCAATATGTACGCACGCACTCGCGCACACAGACACACAAGTCATAGCGTGACTTTGTTTTTTTCTTCCTCTCGCTCAGCTGGCACAGTTTAGGAGGGCACAGTTTCCTTGGGAACTGCACAAACTGCCAGACTCCTAATGTGCTACGTCTGCATGTGTG